TGAACTAGCCAATCCAGGAATTTACACAGGTGGAGGCTACTCTCCAAAAGGTGGATGAGAACATTCATGTTCAACAAAAACATTTAGATGAACACCATGGAGCTTTAGATTTCCTCCTGCTTATGGTGGAGGCATGTGCATGCTGCTAAATAGAACTGTGTGTTGCACTTAACTTTCCCCTGATTTTACCAAAAAGGTACCGGAAGGCTGAGAGTGTAGCTCAGTGACAGAGTGCTTGCTTACAGTGTGTGAGGCCCTGGATTCTGATTCAATCCTCAGCACCACAAATATAAAAGAAGGTGGCAGAACCAGGTATGGTGCCTGTATTCCCAATTACCCTGAAGGCTAAGATGGGAGGATAACTGGAGTCCTGGTGTCAAATATGAGCCTGGGCAACAATGAGATGGGACCCCTTTAAAAAATAATGATACAAAAATTAAAAGGGTGGCTAATATGGCTGTCTCCCTAGATACAGTCACTGAATACAGTAAGAAATTTCTGAGGGTAAGGGAAAACATAATATGTTCTCAGATGACAGTTACCTGGCAGGTTACTTCACAGCGAACTGAACAAAGACTATAGACAATTGAACTAAAATACTGTCAAACTATATTTATTGCCTGAACTTTAAAGTATTTGATTTTGGTCATTTTGTTCATTTCATTTGACACTCCTATTAAGGAGTATACTTCAGTTTCTCCTGATACTCTTCATAAAAGTCTCCTTTGTGTGTGATACTTCCTCAAGGAGTCATACATGCTCATATTGCAGTCACCCTTCATACATTAACTGGTCTCATTATAATTAGAATAATAAAATGATGAAGAAAGCATAATAATCCAAATAATTTGAGATTGTGAACTGTGAATTCCATACTGACACTAAACAAGTCCCATCATAATGGCAATAGAAAGTGGTATCAGTGCCCAAGATTTTGGTCGATCTCTCAAAATTGAAAGGCTGACCAGAAGAGAAAGAAATTGCTAAATTAAATTAAATTTGGCCTAAAGCTATCTCTGTGCTTACTGAAGTGTAATGTAACTTAATATGTAAACAAACTATAACCTAATTTGAGAATAAAGTCATTCTCCCATCTCCACAGTTTTGCTTTCCATGGTTTCAGTCAACTGCAGTCAACTGTGATCCAAAAATGTAAAATGAGAAATTCCAAAACCAAACAATTTTATTACAGTATGCCATTATAATAGTTCTATTTATTGTTAATTATTCTTGTTAATAGTTGAATGTGCCCACATTTATAAATTAAACTTTATCATAGGTGTATATGTATAGAAAAATAGTCGCATATATAAGGTTTGATGCTATCTGTGGTTTCAGGCATCTGCTGAAAACTGCTCAGACATGTTTAAATAACACAGGCAACAAGCCTATCCAATCCGGCTCTTTTATGTCAGTTCCATTTTCTGTCTATAAATACTGCCTGCCCATGTAGAGCTTTCTCAGCCTATTCTAATTCTGAGGGTTGCCTGATTCATGAATCGTTCTTTGTTCAAATAAACTCTTCTAAATTCAACTTGTCTAATATTTTTCTTTTAATCATTTTTAAGGACGATTTTTGATGAATGAAAATCAAGATCATAATTAATTCAGAATTTTAACCACTCTTTAAGACCTCTTAAATCTATAGACAGGATTAGAGAGCGTTAAAGTTTCAATAAGATGCTGATAAAACTACCATGTAGGTGTTAACAAAAGATGATGGCTCTCACATAATCCAATACAGAATTCCATGCAAGACATGGCTGTTATTTAGCCTAGAGTGAAAGTTGGCAAATTATAGTCCCTAGCCAAATCCTTCTTCATGTTTGCTTTTGCAAATAAACTTATTGGAACACTTCCATATACATTCATTTATGTATTGTCTGTGATCTATGACTGCTTTTGCTATATGAAGGTAGAATTACTCAGCTGTAGACAGAGACTATATGTGTCTCATAAAGATCAAAATATTTATTATCTGACACTTTACAGAAAAAAAAATTACCAACCCCTTACTGGAGTATTAGCAGTGCTGGAAGTGATAAACGAATGAGCATATTATATTTTGGAAACAAAATAGGAATAATCTTGGTGTGTCTTAGAAGAAACAGCAGTGTGGCAGGAACATAAAATATACCATATTTATTGCTTTTTCTATTTTATTTCCTAGCACATTTGTATATACCTTTTTATTCAGCCATTAATTCATTCATTCCACAATATTGAAGTTCCACTCTGTACCAGACATTGTGTGAGCTGCTACACACATACACACACACACACTCACATGCGCATGTGCACACATACGCACACTCATGATCATCATAATGGATACCAAGAAGTAAATGCATACAATGCTTAGTTACTAACAATAAGTGCTAACTAAAATTGAGTAATAAATGGAGGGCAACTAATGCAAAAAGGGAAACAAACTTTTGTTACACTACCCATTTGGTATTTATCTGAAATTGCATGTCACTTTCCTCAAATTGTAAGTGAACCATATTTTTCATGGTTGCTCATACCTCTTCTTCAATCACTAAAATAACACTATCATCATAGCAGCTACTAGTCACTCATATACTGTATTCAAGACATATCCAGGTGCTTTACATATTATCATCACAATCATGTGAGATAGATACTACTGTTATGCCCATTTGTGGAATAATAAACCGAGAATCAGTGAGGTTCTTTATCTGAAGTTTCATAGATACTCCATCAAGTAGAAGTCAGGAAAACTATCTTTTTCTTCCTCCTCTGCTCTGCCTTGCTGCTGTATGGTATCATCCACCAAAGGTATCACTACCATTGTTATTATCAACCAATATCTAGGCCAAAGTCTTCTGTCTAGAGCATTAGTGGTAGAGTACAGGGTATTGTTTCTTTAAGCTCTTAGTATAGTTTATTATACACATCAACTATATAGGACCAACAAACAAATTTTGTGAAAGAGCTCTTTGTAGGTTTTATTTGTGCTTTCCTTATAGCTTCTGACCTATGTCTAGGGCAGAAGATTACCTATCTTAGCTCTGAAAGTTAACTTGTTGTGTAATGCTGGTGAAATTGCTTAACCTATCTGTGCCTTAGTTGCCTTATTGTTAAGGTAGGGATAAAAATATTATCTGCTTTAAATATTTGTAATGAAACACTTAGCCTGATGCTTGCCATGTAGTACAGGTTTAATAAATACTGGTTCCTATTATTTAAGGCAACTGTCTTCTTTTAACTCACAAACAAGCATGTTTTGACTATCAACTTCTTGTCTCTTTCTCTCTACTTTGTTGATTTCACCTTACTTTTATTGATTTCATTTGCTCTAATTGCTACTGTCATGCTCTTTCTTGTTACTGGATTTTGGATCATGCTGTTCCCTCTGTTTAGAATGTTCTTTCTTTTCCTATTTGCCTGGCCAAGTCCTGTTTGTTCTTTAAACATAAGGGCATAGAATATATCTAGGTTTTATTTATCATTTTATACCCAGAGTTTAGTACAATGTCCTACATTCACTAATGTTTGCTCTGGGACGAATACAATGCAGACTAAATGTAGACTGTCAACTTATTCAGTTTGTACTGTTAATATATATTGTGTCTATAGTTTTGTTTGTCTACTCACTGGTTCTAGGCAATTCTCAACAAAGATTCATTAAAGCATAGACACATGATCTGTTTGGAAAAGAAATATAAACAGTACAAGTTTTCTGCTCTGAAGAAGCTACTGCTTCACTGGAGGACAGAGATGTAAAAGGAGAAATTACCATCCAGAATCAGTCATATACATGAGGTCTATACTAGATCCATTGGGCATATTGGACACATGGAAAAGGAGAATATAAACTAACTTTGAAAAGACAGTGAAAGAACCATAGAGAAGGTAATCTCTCAATTGAGTAAGAAGTGATAAGTATCAGCTTCCTAAATAAATGTGGGTAGAGCTTCCATGGAGGAATGAATTCCAGGGTAGAAGTGTGGAGTATTATTAAAAGGCTCTTTGGAGTGGAGACTTTTTCTTCTGTATATCTTTTTTTTAAAGAAACTGGTGTTTATTTTAACTTGTACAAGACATTTCGTTTCTTACTTTTTGTCCTTAGACCAATATTCTTCATCTCTAATAGTATGATAATGTACAATACTCCAGAATCGCTTACTTTTCAATGTATATGCATTGAATTTTCTTCTTTATTCTTTCAGTATTTTTCCTCTGTCCTGTATTTTTATTGAAGATATTATTTCACTACACTTTTTAGTCTTTCCTTCTAATATGTACTGTTTTTAAATTTTTTAAAATATTTTTTGGTGTACCTTTATTTTATTTATTTATTTTTATGCGGTGCTTTGGATAGAACTCAGTGCCTCACACATGCCAGGCAAGTGGTCCTTGCCTGGCTACAACCGCAGCCCCGGTTCTTAAATTTTTACTTGCGTAAAGTGTTTATTCTTAATGTTTGTTCCCCTCTAGTGTTCACTGTATTTAGCATCGTATCTGAACTTGGATTGAAGCTATTCAAGTTAACTCACAGGAGTCCAGCAATGACTGGTTGTGAAGTAGGCAAGTTCAAGAAAGTGGCCAAAGGGTGATGGAAGAATTTTAGTTTTAGTTCAGTTCAATAAGAAGCACCGTGAGGGGCTGGGGATATAGCTCAGTTGGTAGAGTGCCTTGCATGCACAAGGCCCTGGGTTCAATCCCCAACACTAGAAACGGCAGGCAGGCGACCTGAGTTTTACAGCCGCAGTAGCGTTGCGTTTGTGTGTTCTCCTTCCCGAAACTATGCCCCCAAATCTGTTCAATGAAGGCAATTGAGTAGGGCGTCCAGGCCCAGGCCCAATCCCTCTGGATGTAGGTCTTTAAGGCGCCTCTGCAGCGGCTTAGTTAAGCGGCGCGCAGACACAGCACCGGCCGGAAGGAGTGAGGCGGAGCCTCAAGGCTCTCAGCAAGGCCCGAGCGGACTGGGGGAGGGGAGCGCGGGCCGACAATCTGGGGGGGAGCAAACGGCCTTGCAACTGTGCATTCCAAGGCCCTCCTTGTTTGTATTTCTACCCATTCTGCGGAGTTGGGAGTCGCGACCTCCAGCACAGGTAGGTCCAGCCGCGTGGGTCGGATAAGGGGTATCTTTGGCTGTGGGTTTGCCTAGGCTCTGGCTTTGGAGCCTGGTGCAGTGGGCGGCGGCGGCTCTCCCCTGCTGCTCCACCTCAGAGTGGTGGTACTCACCTTAACTCTGGTGGAAGAGAAGGACACTCCCGCCTTGCCTTCAGGGCTGGCGTCACAGTTTGTGCCAGTTGCGCGACAGACTATCGGCGTGGGGCTAAATGGGCCTAGCGCTCAGGAAGAGCTGCAACAACTGGAGCGAGCTGGCGTTGGGACTGACGCTTTGCGTACATTGTTTTCAACCTCAGTCAAACCTTGCAGCCCTGGATCTGTCACTCACTTGGTGTCTAGACTTCAGCAAGTCCCTACCTCTCCGTACCTCACTTATCCTTCCCTTGCAATGGAAAGAGAAACTCAACTTTTGCAAGACCTTCCAGCGCTGCCTTCTTTAGTGCTCATTATCAATTAATGTTCTCTGCCCAGATTTTACCCTTTGTCTGTCCCTCCAAAACAAGGTTGCCTAAGGGGTGGCCCAGTAAGGTATTGGGGAAGTTACCTAAGAAGTTCACTGTTCGGAAAACAACTCTGAAGAGCCCTTTAATAATACTGGAAACGGAATTCATGTTATGCATAACTTGAATGTCAACTCTGAATAAGCTCTTCTGGATGTTTTACCTTTTAGGATTTTAGCTACGTGATTGCATACTATTATATATGTCGTATATTACATTGCTAGCAAAACTTTCTTGAAAGAGTTGAGTGAGTTAACTCCCTAAGTAAGCACTGAAAGAAAACCTTTAGCTCTCAGATTTAGAAATACTTCCATAATCCCCTCATACAAAACTCTTACAATTGCTTCTTTTTAAAAATATTTTTAGTTGTAAATAAACACACAGTATCTTTATTTATATTTTTATGTGATGCTGAGGATCAAACCCAGGGCCTCACACATGAGAGGCATGCACTTTACCACTGAGCTACAGACCCAGCTGTACAATTGCTTCTTAACTTGATATTATACACAGTTGATTTTACATTCATTAATTGTAAAAACATACAAGAAATATAAATACTATAGATCGACATCCTGATGTCAACTTTCAATTCTTCCTCATAAGGAGCAGGTTTGATAATCATAGTGGAAACTATTAATTATGCAAAATACTTTCCACAACAACTACAAAAATATACTAATTTATCACATGCTTAAAAATATACTTTGCATCATAACCAGTAAGATGAAAGAAATGCACACTGGAGTGGTAGAGTCTGGGGGCTTCTTTAGTATGCCCCTCCCATTTCTTCATTTCTTGGCAGTGTGAACTGACACCAATCACTTCCTTGTTTTGGTGTATGTACCAAGAATGATGAGTATTTCTGCATTTGTGCTTGTCAACTCTGAGAAGGCAGTAAAATATCCAAACCAATCACTCCATGTTTAAGATGTTTCAGACAGCTGTATTTTCTATATGCCAAAGCTGGGGGGTGGTGAGTTAATAAACTCTTTGGTGGATGCTTGGAGCCTAACCAAACAGATCAACTGACTGGCTACCACTGTGACCCTCTGTCTACAAGGCCAAATGTGCCTCATGCTCATATGGTCTGGGCATGAACCTGCCATTGCACCACACATAAATTTGTAGGATAAGACTCTTGGGGAAGCCCAGCCTGTGCCACACCTGCAGGTTCTAGCAAGGAGGACCTGATATATAGTGAATGTTTTTTCTGGGTGAGGGAGAGGCCTGATAATTTCTCAAACGGTCTGATGGAAATCGTGCAGGACATCTGTTGACCAGCCTTCAGGGTGAGTTTAGCACTGGCCATTTGGCAAGAACGGGTGACTGCTTTGTTTAGCCATATTTTTTATTCTGCTCATCTATTTTTACCCTATTCATCATACCCTATTTGTTTACTCCAAAGACAATCAACAAATGTCTGCTCTGTGCCAGGAATGCAACTTCAAGCATACTCAGTATTAGGCATCTTCATGCACCTCCACTGTCTATATGTAATCAGTATAAAATCTTGTCACTTCCACATGCTGAATATTTTTCAAATCTATCTGTTTCCCCACCCCACTACTCCAAATTTCAAACCAGCAATATTATTTTTAAAGTTTTAAATTTTAAAATACAAAATTACTGCTTCACTCTCAGACCTCAGAAGAAAACCACTTACCCAATCACAGTCAGCAGTGCCACAACAGACGGTAGCCTAAGGAGCGCTGCATGGTCTCTCACAAATCATCAAAGAGATGACCTGTTTTTTTCTTTGCTTCCTAGGATGTTCTTAGTTGTTTTTTTTATTTTTTCCTTTATTTTTTTCCCTTTTGGTACTGGGGATTGAACTCAAGGACACTGAACCACTGAGCCACATCCCCAGCTCTATTTTGTATTTTATTTAGAGACAGGGTCTCACTGAGTTGCTTAGGGCCTCATCTTTGCTGAGGCTGGCTTTGAACTCATGATCCTCCTGCCTCAACCTCCCAAGCCACTGGGATTAGAGGCGTACGCCACCGCCCCCGGCTCAATTTTTTCTGCGATATCTTTTACATACCATAAAATTGGCCTGTTTTGACTGTACACTTCAAGGATTCTTAGCAAACTTATCAAGAGGTGTAGCCATCATTAAAATCTGACTTTAGACATTTCCATCAACTGAATGATATCTCATTTTCGTACTTGTAAGCCATCCTGTGACTACCAGCAGAACCAGGCAACCCCTAAGCTACTTTGTCTCTATGGATTTACCTATTACAGTCATTTCACATGACAGGAATCATAGAATGAGTGGCCTTTTGTGTCTATGTTCTTATTCTTCTCATAATGTTTCCAGGGCTCATCCTTATTGTAACATGAATCAGTACTTAATTCATTTTCATGACTGAATCATATTCCATGGTATGGAGAAGCCTAATTTTTATAGTTTCTTTTAATTAGTGCATGTTTTAGTCAGTTTTTTCACTGCTGTGACCTAAAGACCTGACAAGAACAAGTGTAAAGAAGGAAATGTTTATTTGGTACCCATGGTTTTAGAGGTCTCATCCATAATGTGGAGTCCAATTGCTGTGGACCTAAGGAGAGGCAGATGATGGCAGAAGGAAGTGGAGTTGGAAAGCACCTCAGGACATAGAAATCAGGAAATCAGAGGGACCTCCACTCACCAGGGACAAACAATATAGACCCCAAAGGCTCATTCTCAGGGATCTACCTCCACCTGCCTACAGTTACTACCCAGTTAATCCTTCTCAGTGGATTATGTCATTGATTAGATCACAACTCTCATTATCCTATCATTTTACCTCTGAACATTCTTTTGTTTTATAGCTTTTGGGGGACAGTGCATATCTAAATCATAACAGTGCATATGGATATACATAAAGGTCAGGTTCACTGTGGTATATTCATATCTATATACATAGGAAAGTTTGGTCAGATTCATTCTACCATTCTTCTCTTTTCCCATTCTTCCCTCCTCCCCCTCAACTCCCTCTACTCCACTGATCTCTTTTCTGTTTTCTTGGAATTTTCCCCAACTTTTTCTTCCTTTTTGCCCCCTTATTTTGGTCAAGCTTCTGTATCTCAGAGAAAACATTCAACCCATGACTTTCTGGATTTGGCTTATTTCATTTAGCTTGATGCTCTCCAGTTCTCTCCATGTATCAGCAAATGACCCAGCCATCTGCTTCTTGGTATATTCCAAAAGATTGAAAATCAGCACACTATAGTGATGCAGCCACACAATTCTTTAATTGTATGATTCTTTAATGTTTAATTATGTTCAACAATAATATAATTCTTCTGTATGGCTGAGTAAAACTCCATTGTGTATCCATACCACATTTTGTGTATTCATTCATATGCTAATGGGTACCTGGGCTGCTTCCATAGCTTGGCTACTGTGAATTGTGCTGCTATAAACATTGGTATGGTTGCATCATTATATATGCTGATTTTAAATCTTTTGAATATATACCAAGGGGCAGAGTAGCTAGGTCATATGATGATTCCATTCCTAGTCATTTAGGAATGGAATTGAACCCAGGGGCATTTAACCACTGAGCCACGTCCCAAGCTATATATATATATATATATATATATATATATATATATATATATATATATATATATTTTAGAGACAGGGTTTTACTGAGTTATTTTGAGCCTTGCTAAGTTGCTAAAGCTGGCTTTGAACTTGTGATCATCCTGCCTCAGCCTTCCAAGCTGCTAGGATTACAGGAGTGTGCTACCACACCTGGCCATTTTTAAAATCTTTTGAGGAATCTCCATAATGCTTTCCAGAGTGTTTGTACTAATTTGCCATCTCACACACTATGTAAGAATGTACCTTTTCCCCACATCCTTGCAAATGTTTATTATTATTTGTATTCTTTTTTAATATTTATTTTTTAGTTGTAGTTGGACACAATACCTTTATTTCATCTATTTATTTTTATGTGGTGCTGAGGATCGAACCCAGGGCCTCGCAAGTGATAGATGAGCGCTCTACCGCTGAGCCACAACCTCAGCCCTATTATTTGTATTCTTGGTAATTGCCATTCTGACTGCAGTAAGATGAAATCGCAGTGTAGTTTTGCTTTGTGTTTCCCTAATTGCTAGAGATACTGAACATTTTTTCATGTTTTTATTTGCCACCCATATTTCTTATTTTGAGAAGTGTCTGTTTAGTTCTTTTGCCATTTATTAACTGGATTATTTGTTTTTTGGTATTAAGTTTTTTGAGTTCTTTATATAGTCTGAATATTAATCTCCTATCTGAGGAGCAGGTGGCAAAGATCTCCTGTAGGCTCTCTCTTCGTGCTACTAATCATTTCCTTTGCTATACAGAAGCTTTTTAATTTTATGTTGTCCCACTAATTGATTCTTGGTTTTATTTCTTGAACTTTAGAAGTCTTGTTAAAGAAGTCAGTGCCTGCACCACTATGTTGCAGTGTTTGATCTACATTTTCTTCTAGTAGTTGCAGAGTTTC